TAAACCAAGCCTTTTTCTATTAGCTTGTGCCAAGTATTCATGAGCAGATCTGGTAAAGAAATAACGCACATTTACAGTACTTCAATAACATATTTCCAGCAGCTAGATCCCATCTGAAAAGAAACCCAGAAACAGAAAATCCAATTAGACAATAGAAAGATCTGAAGAAGCTGTAAGCTCAGATGGAAGAAAGCACCAACTTCTCCCAACAGTAGCAGTCTGCTCTTTGACAGCCCCTTATGTGGGATGCTACTACAGAAAACAAAAACCTTGAGTCTGCAAGAAAAGATGCAGCTTCTTCCTGTTTTCAGACACTTCAAGAGCTCTAATTGCAAATTCAGATCTATCTTGGCCTATGTTGCCAAAAACACGGACACTGCCTGTATTTTTAAGTAAGGAGTCCCAAAGATAGCTCAAGACTCATAAATCACAGAGCTCAGCAAAATAACTGTACGGGCAGGGAAAGGCAGTAATGGCCTTGGGGCTACAGCTTGTGCCAGCAGAGACCACTTGGATGGGATGAGCAGAGCACTCCAGAGAGGGACAAAGCTTCCAGAAAGGCTGGGTACTGCTAAAGGAAAACCACAGGGAGCTGTTCTTCTTTCTTGTGGCTCTTCCTTCAGCACCTCGTGCATGGCCAGGTGGACCTTACCTACACCCACATTCATCACACCTGCTCCAGAACAGCTCTGGCAGCAAAGTCCTGGCCCACGTGTGTCTAAACCAGGCACCACGGTGCAGAGGACAGGGAAAGGCATCCAGATTGGACAAAGCAGCCAAGAAGGAGCATCTCTTATTGCCACTGCAGAGTGGGTGTAAACAAGGGCTTCCACCCCACGGAGCAAGAACAACATTGGGGGTAAATTTCTGTTAAAGCTGCTGTTAGCTCAGAGAGTCTCTGGCTCCGTGTCTCTGCTCCAGCAGCAGCAGCACTGAACTGTCCCCGTGCCGTGGTGTTTGTCTGAACCATTATTACGCATCACTTACTCCAGTGGGCTGCAGAGCTGCTCACAGAGCTGGAAGTGAAGGCAGCTACCCAGCGCACCTAAAAAAAGCTTCCAGTACTATGGGGAGGCTTTTTTTGTTTATTTTTACATCACCTGGTTCCATCCAACTGTTCTACGCTGAAGCTGCTTCAGGACCTTTTCCTGAAAGAGCCCCTGCAGCTCGCAGGACTGAAGCCTAGAGCCAAACCACGTCAAGGGCAAGGCTGGATGAATCTGCAGCGTTTGCCAAGCCAAGAGCAGACCCCGTGCCCTTGGATCTCTCCTGCCAAGCAAGCCCTGAGCAGTCCCATGCTCCCAGAATCACCTCAAAGAGCCACAGAAAGGCCATGAGAGAAGCAATAACCCTCAGTAGCTCCAGAGTGGACAGCCAGCCAGGAAAGCTCTCCCTCTCAGGGGCTGCAAGGGTGTGAAGGGGACGTACAAAACACACGTCAGCTCTGAGTAAATATTTCATTTCTCAGATTCATGCTGCTTACTTAATCCATCTCCATCATTATTTTAAGGCACTTACTCAGGCACTAAAACTGCTTCTCCATCATCTCACCTACCCAAACCAAGGGCTTCCCAAGTATCTCCACCAGGTCCTGACTCCAGCTCAGCTCATTCACACTGCAAAAGCTCGAGGTCCTGAGTGTGTGGTGGGCTGGACACAGGACCTGCCCCGTGCTGAAATAAAAGCAAGGAGAAGGCAGGTTCCCACCATTGTTAACATCAACGGGAGCAGAAAGAATTGTCTGAAACAATTTCCTACTGCAAACAAGGCACCGAGGTGAATAAAGGAAACAAAAAGGTCACAAACTCACATACAGCCCTGTGTGCTTCCTTGGTGCAGACAGCTGAGCCAGGCCAGGCCCAAAAGCCCCGTTTGGCAGCAGCAGGGAAAGAAGGCATGCCCTGTGCCCTGGCCACCTCAGCAGCCCAAACAGTGCCACCCACACCCACAGCACCACCACGTTCATGGTGAGGAATCTGCAGACCCACAATGCAGAAGCTTGGGGTACCCCCTTCCCTGGTGCCCATTGCCCATCTCTGGTCCCAAGGCAGTGGTCCTGGTGGCCCTGTGGCATCCAGCAGCACAGATGGATGTGGCTCCCCAAAGGTGCTGCCCCCAGCTCTTGCTGACCCCAGAGGGTGCCAGCAAATCTGCTGCTTGAGGACAAAGCACAGAGGCTTCAGCCCCGTTCTACCTTCCCATCTCCCCCTCCTTCCTCCCCTCCATGGAAACCAGCAGTCTCTCATTATCAAGTATTTTTAAAACAGATTGAAGAATAAGAATACACTGTGCTGTTTTAATCTCAGATAATGTTTTCTATGGTTCCCATGCAAAATCTGCATTCTAGCTTCATATTCCCTCAATTTTTGTTAGACTTGGGGGGGTTACACCAATGTATACTCTTGAGTGAGCATGAGCCTCACTCCTGTAACAAAACCAAGCTCTGGTTCTGCAAACATTTGGGATAAACACATAAAGAGAAGGGTAGGCAGGCCAGAGCCCTCTTCCACACTCCGATCTACTAAGAAACCATGCAACACTGCTCAAGCTGCTGGGAATTAATCCAAGAGGAAGAAAAGTGTCCCCGATCCAGCACATCCCAACAGCTTCCAGCCTGCAAGTGGCTTATCTCACACGGAGCCCAGATGACCACAGCATCCCCCCAGCCTGCTGAATGCTAAAGCACAGGCATGGCTTTCATCAGCTGAGAGCTCCCACGGCAGCTCCCGGCACCAATCCTGCCAAAACTTTGCTTATGCATGCCTTTACATTTGCATGCCGAGATCAGTCTCCATGAAGCCAAATGAAATTACAGGCAGCACATTACACATGTGCCTTCACATCTGTGGGATCAGGGCCTTACAAAGAAAGCCGCCCATCCTACCAAAACACGCCCTGCTCGGCTACAATTAAACACAGACACTTCAGAGCAGTTTGCTCAAGTTATTTTTTATGCATACTTTCACAATTAACATAATGTCATTTCCTGCCGGGATGTAAAAGGTTGTGACTCAGAAATGTTATCATCATTTTAACTTCAACTGACTTGCTTTTGGTTTCACTCCTTTCCTTTTTTTTTTCCTCCTTCCAACAAGACGCATGCCATTCATGGCTCCACTTAATCATGTTTTGTAAGAAAGTTGGAAAGGCAAACGTTCAACAGCGTTGCTCTAACATATAATTAACTATTCCTTGTAAATCCCTGCCACCCTCCCAGCAACACAGCAGCAGCATGCAAAGTGGGAGCAGAGAGGATTAGATAAGGAGGTACCTAAGAGAGAACATCCTCAACATGTCCTCAATGCCAGCCCACTGTCCTTTCTTCTCTTATCAGCCCGAGATAGAACCCGTCCCTTGTCCAAAAAGCGTGGATTCTGAGGGATGGAGGGTCTGCACACCAGCTGCTTGCGAGGAAGCCGAGCACCCTCCTCCTTCCCTCTCCCACATGCACATGCTTCTCTCAGCGAGGGATGTTTTATCCTGCACTCAGTCCCACCGGAGCAATCCACAGACAAGAATTTGGCTTAACTGGTGCAAAACCCTCCGTGGAAGTTGTTCTGGGATGCCCCGTGGACTTGGATTACCCAAAACAATCCGAGAGGCTCAGCAGCAGCACCAGTTTAACTTAATAACAAAAAAGAGCGCCAAACACATCCACAAGAACAAACAGCAATCACGTCTCGCAATAAGCCACGTTCCTGAGCCTATTCATGCTGCAAAGTTACTGCTCCACACAAAGCCAAAAGGCTCTGCTTGGCTATACCCTTCAGCTTGCCCTAAAAAACCATCCGAAGCCGTGATTTCAATGCATATTCTTACGCTGAAAGACAAACTTCAATTTCCAAGCATGCTTTAGACCTTAAGATCAAGGAAACGTTTCAGAAGCAGCTTTGCAAATGGCTGGTATAATTTATAGGTATTCTGTTGAGAAACACCAGCTCTTATTTTGCTTAGTAGCTTAACTTCCCCACCTCCAGTAACACCATTAACCCCATCTCCATACATTTGCTTTGCCACATCAGAGGAAGCATACAGCCCCGCAGATCCCTAAGCACATAACAAACGCTAAAAGAAACTTGTCTCATCCCGGTCACATCATCTTGAACGCAGACCATTTTCCTATTTTGAGAGGGAGCCACTTTCAAGCCCTCCACTCGTGGGCAACTTCTACGTTACTCCCAAGCACTGAAAAAGTTACCGGGAACTCGGTCAAGTCTCTCCCTCCCCTAGCCGACGATGCACAAAAGTGCATTCAGTCCGGTCACGGTACTTTCATTCACGTTTCTGCAAGCTGGATGCAAGAGAGACTTGCTTTTCTTTTTCGGCATTAGTTCTTAGTTTTTGTGGGTTTGGGGTTTTTTTCACTTTCTCCCTGCGAGGAGGAAACCTTTTGTCTTCCTCAATACGAACGTAAAAACCCTCTCGGCCGGCACATCCCCAGGAAAACGGTCACGCTGGAAAACGCAGGACACGCGTGCCCCTCGGAAGAATTCCATGCCGGGACTGCCGTGCCTCGCCCGCCGCAGCCTCCCGGGCACCGCGGGCACGTCCCGCCCGCCGGCTGCCTACCCACACGGGGCACAGCCCTTCCCGCTCTCCGCTTCTCCCACCCGTGGGCAGCGGCGGGGCACAAACACCCGCGCCAAGGCAGCACCACGGGAGCGGCGGCGGGCAGGACGGGACCACCCCGCCGTGTCCCCGTGCCCGCGGGGCTCCGGGAGCAGCCGCCCTCCGCCGCCACGGCCCCGCCGCAATCGCGAACCGCGGCCCCAAAACGGGGCCAACAGAAGTTTTGCGCGGGATTCCCCGGCCCCGGGAAGGGGCAGAGGCGGAGCGCCGCGGCGAGCCCGCCGTGCCCTCCGGCACCGCGCCCCGCAGCTCCCCGCGGGCACCGCACCCCGCCAGCCCCGGCACGGCATCCCCGGCAGCGCGCCCCCGCAGCCCCCGCGCCGTGCGGCCCCGGCTCCGCGTCGTCCCCGCCGCCCCCCGGCCCCGCGCACCGCCGGTCTGCCCACGGCCACGGCCATCGCGCTGCGGTGCTCTGCGCTGCGCTGCCGCCCGCCGCCGCCTCTGCGCTGCCTGCTAGCACTGCAACATGGCCACCCGGCGGGGAGGGCCCATGCGCAATGCAAAGGGGCCGGGCGGCGAGGCGGGACCCCCCCGGCCCTCCCCCGGGGCTGCCGGGCAGCGCGGGCGGGCGGGCGGAGCCGCCCCGCCGCTCGGGGAACCCCGAAAGGCAGCGGGAGCCGCGGGGGCTGCGGGCAGTGCTCAGCCGTCACCCCACTAATCCTGTCCTGCCCACGCCCCCCACGCCGCGCCGCGGGTACCCGAGTCCTGAACTCCGAAGGGTCTCTCTCGCCCACTCTGGCAGCCCCACAGCTGAACGCACAGACACATCCTCTCCAGAGAGCCTTGCAAAGAGATGGCCAAGCAAGCGACCAGCAAGGTCCTCCTACCAGCAGTTAGGTGAAGAAGGAGCGCAGGGATTTCGGCAAAGAGGGGTTTCTAACAGGGAGGCACACAGGAGCCCTTAACTCCCTTGTATAACAGCACAGGACAAAACCTGCCACCTCATTCCTCTTGTTTCTCCGAGCACTTCTCTTCTGTCAAACATCCACGCACACCGTTTTCCAACAAACTTGGTATACCGAAGAGCAGCCACGGTGGCCAGTTGCTCTCCCACTCCACTAAATGATTTCAAGGGATGAAGAGAAGCATAGCTGGCTCCTTGCTGCTCTAGCTGACAAACACTTAACATCCGGGTGCTGAGCATGATATCCCTTCACCTAAAAAGGGGGGAGTCTTAGGACTAAGCTCAACACGTCTGCTTGCAAATCTCTGACCAAGAGAATGATGAAGAAAGAGCCCTGCATTGCTTTGTGAGACATAAACCCCCAAAGAGACCCTATTTGCTGCACACATGAAGGATACATTGAATTATGGACACACCAGAGCTACCCCCATATGTGAACATCCACAGAATCAAAAGAAAAAAGCCAGCAGAATAAAAGCAAATGACCCGGAGTAGTGGTAAGCAAAGAGAGCTCCGCAGTACACTTACCATTTGTAGTCCCTTTGATGTCAAGCTTGTAACTTTTCCCTCCAAAAGCCATTTCTGTAGGGCTACGGAGTAACACGTGGATGTTTGAAAAGGGCTACAGAGCCCAGGTATCTCCTTCCTGCAGCTTTTATGACTGTGTTTTGACAAAGTCAGGAGCTGATCTTGGAGAGTGCTCACCTCCACCTGCATCCTCACCCTGAACCAGAAGCAATGGAAGTGCACTACCTGTCCCTGCTCCCCACCAACAGCTGAGGATTTGTTCCTGGGCAGTGCCCTTGGCTGGCCACAGGTGCAGCCCTCACCAGTAAAGCTGGTGACATCCAAGGGTGTCTACCAGGAACATTTCACAAGCATAGCTGATGCAGTACTTTTATCACTCTGACACGTTAGGCGTTAATGCCAATATCCGAGGGAGGCTTCATTATTAGACTCATTGCTGCTCTTGTAGCAAATTGCTCCTGCACGCACAGCTCCAGGTGAGGAGGTGCTGAGCCAGCCTGCGCTGGGAAATGCACCCGGACCAGTGCAGCCTCTAGTGGGAAGCCGGTGATCCTAACTAAAGAGTTGCCCTCGTGGCACCTGTGGGTGAGGCAGACAGAGCTTCCCCTCGTCTGGATTAGAGATGCATGATACTCCTGCATCAGCATAACTCAACCAACACGAAAATCTGCGCTCACAAAACCTTGATGTGACTCACCGTGTCCTTCCTTGGCCCGGAGCTGGGAGAGCTGTGGCCGAGTTTCCTCCACGATACTCATGCACGTACACCTTCCTGGGTATGGCTGTCCGTGCTGAAAGTGCAGGGGAGGAAAACATCAGCACGAAGAAATGCTCTGCAACCTTCCTAGATCTCTTTGCAACTCGTAGTGTTCAGCACCTCGTTCCTCCAAGTTTCGTGCCTGTTGCTAACAAATCAACACCTGGACAAAGGGAATAGCCAGCCCCTCATCCTAGACACCCCACGGGAACTCCTTCAATGTTTCCAAAGCTGTTGGGCATCATTTTGCAGACAGAGAAAAAAAATTGGGCTGCAGTGCACTTTGGTGTCATTGTAAGGCTATTTGTCACTTAAATGGGATGGGAAGACACACAAGCAGACGAAGAAGTTTGGTAACTTCCCTCCTGTTTAAAGACAAACATGGGTACAGAGCACCCTAAAGGCAGCGTCTTCAGGGACAACAACAGAAACCTACAAGACTAAGCGGTGGGCTTTATCTTTTTCCTTTAATGTTGAAGTAATGCTTGGTCCTGCCTCCATGTTGTGATTAGTTCTACTCTGTGCTCACTCAAATTTCACACAAAGAATCCAAAGGCCTCACCCAAAGAGGGTGAGACCGGGGTAAATTCAGCCATTCTGAAGGGCCCTGCCCACAACCAAAGGTAACCAACTTGCAGACAGGGTAAATCACTGGATCATAAGGGGAAACAAGAGTCTCTTTAAACCTCTCAGCATGAAGTGGGTGACGAAGCAAGCCCAGGTATCAGGGCTATACTTTTCCTTGCCTGCCTGAAGCATTGCACCCCCTTAAACCCAAAATGTGTTTTTCAGCCCGGGCTGTAAGGAGAGTCTGTCCCTGAATCAAAGGGAGCTCTCCACAGACTTTGGCATGTTCCTCCAAAGGGCATCAACAGCCTTTCACAACCAAATGGGTCACAGCCAATGGTATACCATGGAAAGCCTTCTGCTTAAGCCTTAGTTTATTAAGCCAAGGCAACACTTTCCACAGCAGTTTGCCACTGTTGTTTATTGGGATTTTTTATCTTCACAATCTACCCTCCTTTCTTATTTGTGATCACAGTTACAACCATTATGCTCCTCCATTCATTTTCTCTCAGTCACTTCTGCTGAGAGCACACTGCAAACAAATGCTGTTGTGACTGCAATCCAGGGCTCGTCAGAAGAGGAGAGAAATGTATTCATGCCTTGGAGAACAGCACTAAAGGAATGTGCAAAGTGATAAAATACTAACATGAGCCTTACTCTTTCCCCATGCCCTGTGCCCTGCCCAGGTGAACACTTCAGATGGGATGTAGCTTGTACACGGCATCTATTGCAATCTCTGCCTGTGGTTTGGGAGGGCTGCACACACTTCTGGGTTTGCAGCAGGCTGGAGGATATTCCAGCTGCTTACATGACAGGCAGCTAAAAATATTTATGGATAGCCGGGAGCCTGCAGCAGAGATGGCTTCTGAAGTGTCACTTAGGGCCTGATCCAGACCTCTTTAAAGCCAGGGAGCCTACGCCGAGCTCAGTCCCTCCATTCTCTGACTGCAAGACAGGAAATCCAGCACACCTCTCCCACACTTTCTCCCCACTATTCAGTCCCCAAACTGCTCAGGGCCAGGGCTGTCATTGGTTTGGTGTGCACAGGGCACACTGCCCACGGCAGCACTGATCTTACCTATCCCTCTCAGCTGTTATGTACACACTTGTGGTAACAGCATGGGCAGTACAGAACAAAGTGACATCCCTACAACAGTACAAGGTTTTAGTTTTAGATGAGATGAGGTGAGATACGATTTAATTGCAGGCACTCTTGGTATTTGTGTGTGGTTGTCATATATGGGCACAATCCCACATACTTGTAATAACAGCTACCCCAAACCACAGCACATCTGTCAATCTTTACTAAGTCACTGGGATGCACCTCTGGTGTTTAGGTGTCTCATGGAGTATTGAATGTCCCTGAGGATGGAGACCGACCCTTTCCAGCCAACCTGTCCCCACGGCAGACCATCCTAACTGTAAAATAGTTCTTCCTCACACGCAAATAGAGTTTCCTGCATTTCAATCTGTGCCTATCACCTCCTGTCCCTTCAGGACACAATGACTGATAAGCAGCTCTTTGGTCTCACTGCCCGCCAACAAAGGATCCTCGCACTTCTCAGCTCCTCCCGCCCCCCTAGCCTGCTTCTCTCCTTCGATGTCACGTCTCCTCAGCGCTGTCACCCCAGCTCACACCTCCATGGGCCGCCACCCCGGGCAAAGGCGACCGTGGGGTGGCGGCCCGGCCGCGGAGGAGGAGGAGGAGGCGGAGAGGCCCGGCGCGGCAGGAGGCGGGTTTCCCCGCCGCACCTGGGCGCAGAGCCGAGCACCGAGGCACAGCACGGAGCACCGAGGCACAGCACGGAGCACCGACAGCCGGCCGGCCCGGAGCATGGCGCGGGAGCTGAGCCAGGAGGCTGTGCTGGACTTCCTCTGGGCGGCCGGGGGGCGAGCCCCCAACACGGCGCTGCTCCGCCACTTCCAGCGCTTCCTCCGCGACCCGGCGCTGACGGAGCAGCAGCGGCGGGAGCGCCGCGAGTACTTCAAGAGCCTCGTCAACTCCCTGGCCACCGTCCACCCCGCCGCCACCCCCGGCGCCTCCAAGGACATCGTCCTCCGCCGCAGGTACCGCGACCTCCTCGATGAGGAGTTGCCGCCGCCGGAGGAGCAGCGGGAGCAGGAGGAGGAGGAAAAGAAGGAGCCGCAGCCGCCGCCGCCCCGACGCGACCCCGAGGGGCGGCGCGGCCCCCGTGGGGAGGCGGCGGAGCAGGGGCGGCCCGGCGGGGCGGGGGGCTGCTCTGCCCAGGGCCGCGGCGGGCCGTGCTGCGAGTGCCGCCGGGCGCGTCGCGCTGCCGCCGCTGCCGCCGCCGCCGCCGTGCCCGCGCCGGGTCCCGGGACCTCCCCGGCCGCCCCCCGGCCGCCCCGCTGCCGCTCCCCGCCGCCCCCGCCGCAGCCGCCCCCGTACCGGACCCAGCCGCTGTCCGCGGGCTCCTGGGCGCTCCGCCCCGGCGGTACATCGCTTCCCCGGCCCCCGGCGCTGCCGTCGGGTCCCGGGGCGCTGTCCCCCGCTGTGCCGCCCCGGTCCCTATCCCCGCCGCAGCCTGCCGCCGGGCTCCCCTCTGCCACAGCGTCCCGCTCCCGGACGCCAGCGCTGCCACCGGGCCCGGAGATGCCACCTCCCTACAGGCCACCTCAGCCCTCCGAGATGCCGCCTCCCTACAGGTTGCCTCAGCCCCG